GGGGAGGTGTTGGGCAGAAGGGCCTGTGCGATGGTGTGTCCTGTCAGTGGAACAGTTGAGTGTGTAGGGCATCTTGGGCCTGGAGAAGAGGCCGCTGGGCTTCATGCTCAGAGCGCATGTCTGAGGGGACGTGGTGGGGACCCCAAGCCACCATTCCATCTCCTGCCAGTCCCGGCTTGAACTCCCGGCTGGGAGCGGGTTCCTGGGCTGGGTGTGTGGAGGGGCTCTCTGGTGAGCTATCGCCCCCACAAGCAGGAAGGGGAGGGGGCTGCGGCGGTTTCTCTCCCCTTTTGCAATAAAATTGTGAGGACCAATACCACCCTCTGCCTGCACCCACTTGCTTGTCCAAGTCAAGGTAGCCGGGAGGGCGAGGGCCACGGAACGAGACCAGCCACGGGCCGGCTGCTGTTCGTGCTCTGGACCTCCTCCTTCCGGAAGAACTGGCAGAAGCTGTCCCAGCGGTCAGCGGAGCCCTGCGTGTCCTTGGAACAGCCGAGTGCCCCTTGCCCAGCCCACCCTGCTTCGCTCATGGACCAGGAAGGTCCCCTGGGATGGTGCCCACAAAGGCGCATCCTTTAAATAAAACCGCCCAGAGCTCTGCAGCCAGCAGAGAGGGCATGCAAGGGGTCAGTCAGGCTGCAAATGCCACACCCTCGAGCCAAATTCCAGGTTTGGCCATTTGCAGCCTCTTGTGGAGGCCTCTGGTAACAATAAGTGTAGTTCTTACATTTAAAGTCCAGAACTTCTCTGGGAGCGGATTATTGCTGGCAGAGAAGGGTGAAGCCCCTGGGCTGGCAAAGAGGAGACCTGGCTGCCAATTTTGCCCACTTGTTCCCGGCATCATCCGAGGCTTTCCTCTGCTCGGATGTAGCCGTTCTGGGCAGCACAATAAACGGGCAGCATCAGCTCTGGAAAACATACTGCCAGTGGGTGTCCAAAAGCTACAACTCAAGAGCCGTCCTCCGGCCCCTGGTCTGGAATTATGGGACACCCTCCTTATTGGGGGCCGAGGTATTCCGGCCCTCAGCCTCCCTGGGCCTAGTTTGTGTCCCGGCTTCCCCAATTCCATTGTGTCTGCAGGTAGGCACGGGTGCCCTCTCCTTTGCTGCTCTCTGCCTGGCCCCCAGCAGTCCTAGCTGGGCCTGAGTCTCCTGCTGAAAAATGCCCACTGCATCTGAGGTGAGGCTGCGTGTTCATGCGGGAGGACCTGGCCAGCGTCACAGAAACCCTGATGGCAGAAAAGAGGGTGGGCTTTGCGGGTTTCAGTCCAGCAGTGACCAAGACCGTGGGACGGGGGCAGTGATTGTGCGTGACACACTGGGCCTGAGAGAGAGAGAGAGAGAGCCATCACAGGAGACTGAGCTGAGGGATAGGGGAGCGTTTCTTGGGGGGAGCCATTGGTTGTGGCCCTCCTGGTAGTAGAGACCCCTTGGCTAAGGGGGCGGGGATGTGGACCTCTGTGTCCCATGGCTGGGTACCAGATGGTCAGCATCTCCTCCTCCAACCAGATGCGAGGCTCCGCCAGGTCTTTCTCTGGGAGTCAGGAGCCAGCAGCCTTTCAAGCGACGGGGGACTTGAGCGTGCCGAGTTACGGCAGAAGCTCTCACATGAGTCCAGGGAGCCGATGGGAGGCAGGCTTGGCACAGGCCAAGGGTAGGCAACCTTGGCTCTTTTATGACTCGTGGACTTCAACTCCCAGAATTCCTGAGCCAGCCATGCTGAGGGGAAAGGGAGAGGTTTCCAAGCTGAGCCATGCTGGCTCAGGAATTCTGGGAGTTGAAGTCCACGAGTCATAAAAGAGCCAAGGTTGCCTAGCCCTGGCATAGGCCCAAGAAAATTCCAAGCATATCCTTACAAGACTCCTCATAAGGGATTCCGTAGCAAGATGAGGCGATGGCCTCTAACCTGGGTGATACCAGAAGGGTTAGGCTAGAGCCTCAAAAGGCTGGTCTGTCCAGGGCTGTCAGCCAAGAAGACTCAGCAGGGTTACCTGCCCCAAATATCAGTGGCAGGAAAACGGCGGAGGGGGAGAAGGTCCGCACTGGGTTGCAGGCTGGGGAAAGGCCCCAAGTGCCAACTCTGAAAAGCACACTGACAGGTGGGCCTTGGCCTGATCCAGCCGGCTTGCTTTCTGCAGCTGACGGAACTCTGCAGCTTGAACCCGCAACCTCCCGGGTCCTCCCCGCCCAGCTACGCTTGGGCAGGGCTGGGTGGCAATAATTGCAGCAGGTCTCCACAGATTCTTTCCCAAGGGTTTGTGGCTCTGATCAAACGAGGGGCGCCGATCCCCCCGTCTGGCCCCGTCTCTGACGCCCAACGTGGCCTTGCCAGTTCTGAGCTGGTGCAGAGGCAAACCGCAGGCCTGGGCCGTGGGCGGAAGGTGGGGCAGCCTCGTTTCGCTTCCTCCTGGCTTCTGTCGAGGGGCGGAAGATTAAGTGGGTGGCAGCCGCGTCTCGGGAGAGCTTCTGATGGAGAACTCGTTCTGCTCGGCTGGGCGGCTGCTTGTGCGGCCTCTCTGGCTTGCCCAGTCTTTCCCAAACCCACCAGGAGGACCCCTTCTGGGCTGCAGCAGGGAAGGCTGCCGGGGGTCTCCCCCTGGATGGAGGGGGTCTTGCTGGTGGTCTCTGCTCTGGCTGCCCAGCCTCAGCAGGAGAGCACGGAGGGCCTCTGCTCCTTTGGCGCCTGGTCAGTTGCTTCCAGAAGGATTTCTGGTCACCTCAGATGGTCCCCCAAAAGTGGGGAACAGAAGCGTTTTACGATCTGTTTTCAAGGCTTTGCTGTTGGTGTGGCTGCACCCTTCTTAACTAGCAACAGGTGTGTCCAGAGTTCAAGGAATCCAAAACAGCTTTGATGATCACACAGGTATTAATTTCAAGGCCATCACTTATTAGTTTGGCTGCTAATCATCTGGTGGGGAGGCAGTGCCGGGGAAGGAACAGACGGCCGTGCCAGACAAAAAGGTACTTGCCCAGGAGTACAAGTCTATCTTGATTGTAAGGTTACATTAACAAAATCTCACAATTCTGAAAATACTTCTCTCCCTCCCCTTTCCTTTTACAGCCCAAGAAATTAGGAGAAACTGGGGAGGCCTCCTGCGGCCCCAACCTCTCTGGGGACTCGGCTGCCCCTTCCCTGACCCACTGCCCACTCTGCCTCCCCTCTCCAAGGTCTGTCCCACGGCACAGAGAGACCCCCAGAGCCCTTCCTATCCGAGGCTCAGCCGCCTCTCTCGGCTCCAGGCTGGAAGGCTGGAAAACAACCATGGATTTATTATTTATTTTATTTTACAAAATTTATATGCCGCCCTTCTCCCCATGGGACTCAGGGCGGCTCACAGCATGTTAAAACAATATACAGAATTACCCCTTCTAAAAACCAATTAAAATCCAAATATTAGTGGCTGTGACTATTTAAAATCATTAAAAATTATCCCTATTTAAAATTCACCCTAGGTCAGGCCCGCTT